TTCAATATATATTGCAATTCATGATAAGGACAATAATAATAATAAAGATAATAATAGTAATAATAATAAGAATAATAAGAATAATAAAAATAATAAAGATAATAGTAATAATAATAATAAAAATAATAATTATTATTATTATTAGTAATACCCCAAAATATACTATTAATTGATTAACCATACAACAGTTCTGGTTAAAAGAAGGCAATCTGAATAATACAGCTGAGTTTGGTCCAATATGCAGTTTTTGGAGCTCTTTGGAGATCACCATGTTGAGTATGACTATAGCATATCCTCCAATGTTTCAGATAGATTTGAGCTTATTTCCTGAGTTTTTGAGCTTTTGTGAGCTTTTGGCAGGATGTGATTTCAATCATTACTTGATTCAATACTTGGAGTATTATTGAATACTACTGCTAGTCGGCCCAAACTATATAGATAGATACTCTTCCAGCAGATCAAGCAAGGCCGATTGTATCCAGTTCTGTATTTGCAGCATCCTCTTCCATCTGATGCCAGGCCACCAATCTATCTCAGATGATTTCTGGAACTGGTGGCTGGCCTGGGTTGTGGGATGCCAGGGCTTTTCATGCAGAGCTCCACTGACTCAGCAAGCAACCGACGACCGTCAGTGGCTTGCTGAGCCAGTGGAGCAATGCATGAAAGGTACCTGCCGGCGATGCAGTCCTTGTCATCTCCCTCCTCAGCTGAAGACTCGTCCGCAGGTCAAAGCATCACTACCAAGTGGCCAAGAAGTTAAAACAGTCTCGATCGCTGTAGATCTCTATGTGAGCAAGAAGCTATCCAACCCAGATAACAAACAAAGCAGAGAGAAAGTCCAGCGTTTTTCATAAACACAGTCATCCGAGCCATCTGGTCGCTTCAGCCAACATGCCTACGGAATGATCAGGACCCTGTTCCCTGCCCACGCACACCCTCCACACTATAAGACGTCCAAGCAGCTCAGCGCCTGTACACAGCGAGCTACAACTACCAGCAGATTATACACATCGGAGCCTGTACAATCCCTAGTGGTGTGAACACGCAAGTGCACACACCACTGAGGGATCATGAGCATTATAACCAGAAGGGCACATCAGAGAGGGTCAAGTTGAGCCCCTGCAGGGATTCGCAATTGCCACAGCGCTCACAGCACCAGACATTTCTTACAAGGATCCCCCACAAAAGCTGCCAAGTGGCACATGTTATCGCAATCCCCACAAGAGTGAGGGCATGCTCTAGACTGGTCACAGGCTTTGGCCTCACTGATCGTGCAGCTTCAAGCGCACACCGGCAGGGAAAAGGGCTAAAGCAGCCTAGCTTAAACCAACACAAGGGTAAACCCAAGGATAAACCGGCCATCTAAACTGCCCAGAACCACAGTAGACGGAAACCATACTAAAATCACCCGAAAATTGCCAATTTCCGGGAGATGCCAGCACAGCGCTCACCTGGCATGATGGCTTCGGTTTCCCAAGTAAGAAGTGGCACCTGCACAGGACAGCGAGCACTCAAGCACTCAGCCGAAGAACATGGCCGGTGGAAACAGGTGGGCCTCACACCAGTCCGAGGTTGTCGCATCCAGCTCAGAAAACAGCCATATGTCAGATGCACCCCTACAGTGGGGCATTCCATGTTATGAGAGTGCATCCGGGCAGCTAAGGCGGCGTGCGCCACGAGTGTGGTGCATTACTACAGGTCGGAAACTTAACAACAGCTGTGCTCCCTGACCCTGGTCGAGTGACATAGGTACTGCACTCAAGGCCCGAAGTCGGGTGTCGCCATAACCTAGCCAAAAATACTAAACCTATAGTAACTTTTCGGGTGCAGCCACACAGCGCACACCGGTGGAGTATTTTTCGGGTGCAGCAAACAGCACACACCGGCCTGGAACGTTAGGTAACACAGGAAAATTTACTTTGAAAAAGAAAGCAGTTTTTGGGTTGGGTCTGCCGCCTTAGTCTTGGACTTGGGCTTGCAAGCAGCGGAGCTTTTGGGTTTGGGGCCTGACTTAGGCTGTGCCGCTTTCGCTGCTTGCTCCGCCATTGCCGGCTTAGGCTGAAAGAGTTGGGCGATGGAGTGACTTTCCTTGGCACCAACTTTTGCATGAGCCGTAAGTGACAGACCTTGCTGATTTCTACTTGCGCTGCCTTTACAAGGAAGTTGCAAGGATTTACCTTCAGACTTGGCAGCAAGTTTCACCGAGTACAGGCACTTGGTACACGTAAAGAAGGAGCCCTTGTTAGCCATGGCATGGGACTCATGAACCTGCCAGCAACTGGGCAGAGGGGCATCAACATCCTCACAGGGGTGGTTAACCTTCCTCGCGAAAACTTCCTGATTATGGCATTGCTCAATGTACAATTTACACTTGCTGCATTGCATCGCCATGTTGGTGGCTGACTTTGTGGCAGTGGCCCGCCACTGGTGGCCCAAAGCCTCCTCAGGCTCGTCCAAAAGTTTCTGAAGCACCTGTTTCTTATTAAGCCGTTTTGGCTCCGCACCCATTGCTACTTTGTGTTTTTCAAAAGCAGGGCCGGGACGAACAAGGTGCAGTCTCTCAGGGTTGTCAAGGTTCGCGGGGCAACGAACTGCTTGAGAAGCTGCTCGATGCGGTACGGACCTTTGGGTGTGGGATTGACTAACAGTAGCCTTTCTGGCGGCCCCACGTTTTTCTTCAAAGACTAGGGGGGCGGGGTCGTGCTTGGAAGTCAACACAATCTCCACACGTTCGGCAAGGAAGGTGGAAACCTGCTGAGCAAGACGGTCAAGCTCTAACACATCATTTTTGAAGCGGACGTTCACAAGAGACGCTGCAAGCTTACCACATTTATCATATCATCCGCAAAGGCATTAGCTGTCATTCTCCACAGCTGTGAGTCACCAAATTCTTTTTTGAAAGCCTCAGCGGATTGGTGTGAGCGACCCAACGACAATCCAAGTTGTCTAGGCGACGGGTTCTTTTGATGGCTGTTTGACAGTCACAAGTAACGTCAGCAACACCCTCTACATTTTCTGCAAGTAGTTCAAGTGCTTTGGTTTCTCCATCAGCTACCGTCGATCCTACCGGAAGGTAACCCGAGATGGTGGCGACACATGTCAGCTCGTCACCGTCTTTTTGGAGTGCCAGCAGGGCATAGGCTACGATGCGCAAACGCGGATCGGCACTATCCGGTCCTCCTGAAGCGTCTGTGCTGAACACATACGAGGACGCGGATAACTGGTTGTGAGAAGCCCAGAGTCCTTCACGACGCACGTGCAAAGTTGACTCAGGCCTGTCTTGCACGGTCCACTGTTTTGGTACAAGTCCACGCTGCCAAAGGCTTGGCGACTGCCACTTTTGTTTAAAGGCCTCCCATTCTTCGGGAGGAGCACTGTGGCGGTTTCTCCAGTACTGGCAGTCTAGGAGAACGTGTGTCCATGTTGCATCACAATGGCACAAGGGGCACTGCTGCGTGCTGCCATTTTGGTTGTGAAGTACCGCTCCTTGCCACAGGGCCTGGAGCCACTTGGTGTTGCGTTTTCTTTTGGTCTCGTTGTTGTACAAACGCCTCTGACTGGTCCAGTCAATGCCCTTTTCAAGCAGAGGGTCATCCACAAAAGTGGCAGTCCGGGCGTGTCTTAAGCTGAGCAGGCGGTCTTTTATGCGATTACATAAAACCGTCTTAAAGGCCTTATCTTTCCAAGAGCAGGTAAGAACCACATCATTAAAACCCCATTGCTCAAGTGACTTGCCATCAATGTCAAGCTGCATTAGGTAGGCCTGAGCAGCTGCCATCGGTCCTGACACGCATTTCCAGGGATGAGGTGATGCTGAAAGACGGTCCCACGTGTTGCGCCAGGATGCTTTTAGCTGGCTCCACAAGGATTCAGGCCAGCGTAAGAAAACTTTGGCAATTGTGGCAAAATGTTGGCTCAAAATGGTGATTAAAGGGTCCTCAAACTTGCTATGGAAATCGAAAACCAGATCTAAGCTTCCTAGCTTATGTCGATGCAATTGCTGCGCCGCACAGCCTCGCAGCCATTTCAAGCGCTTTGGGGCTATGCCTTGAGCTTGGTGACCCCAGGCTGTGGCTGCAAAAATGCCACCTTTGTAAAGCCTCCATTTGTGTGATAGGGATGGGATCTTCAGCGCTCGCTGCCTCCCAGCACGTGCCTGCCCTTGGCTTGACGTGATTTGGCGACCGTGATTCTACGACGTCTGGCTGCTGAGTAATCAGTGCCTAAGTCGCGCGCTAGGGCCTGAATGGGAGGGTCATCAGGGCCTAACAGTTTTTTAAGGGCCTTCTCGGAAGCTGAGTCCGTACAGACAAAGCACGTTTTTGTGATGGACATTTGAAGTCCATCTGTTTGCAGGGAACTTTTTAGCAGGTGATATGACTGAGCTGCTCTGCTTGCAGTTTTTGATGCCAGAGCTCCTTCCGTGTCAACACTGACATCGTCCAACCATGCAGTGATGTTGTCCGCAAGTTTGGTTTTATGCAAGGTCGAAAGGCTCGGAAAGAGTGCAAGTTTTGCAATTGCAGGTGCATATGGGCATCCGGCCATGAGGCCAGATGCTGCATGGCATCTGGGGGATACAATGCCATTGGCCACAATGTACCGAGCCCCTCTGTATACCTTCAAGGCAGTGTCTGCGCAAAGCGGTGGAAAGTCATGAAGGAGGGCTTGCTGGGCAACAAGTTCATGAGTAACAGACTCATAAAAGGTTTGTATATCAATAAACAAGACCACCCGACAAAGTTTACTGGCCTTAGCTATTTCAGCTTGCAGCAGCCGGCGTACACTGATGTCAAGTGTGCACTGGCCTGGGATTGCATGTTCCCAAGGGGCCGACTGGATAAAACTTTTCAGCCAAAGCTCTACTTCAGGGTATCGAAGTTTTGCCCACAATCTGTAGGACGCACAGCAAAGGGCGATGGGTCTTTCAACCAAAAGATTTTTGGGTAACATGGTGATCAATGTGGTTAGCCAGTGCTCTGGCAAGATCCCTTCACACTCTATGCGTCTGAAGATTGCCAGCAGGGCTTCCAGCGCTGCATCAGGCAACACTTTGAACTGGGCATAGCTGCATAGCTCCAGCCATCAGCACCACCGGCTTTGTTGCTGAGCTTCCGGGTCTGATGCTTGATCCGCTCCAGAGACAGAGGTGGCAATGACGAGGCATGATCCCGCGCTTTCTGATGAAGCTGGGCGTCAAGGTCTGGTAAAGGTGACGGTTGCGCCTTCCAAAGTTTGGCCCAAAACTCAAGTCTGAGGAATGGTCTGAAGTCAAGCGCACTGTCAAGGTATGGTCTTTCCACCTTAGCATCAGGGCCGCTTAGGGAGCGGAAAAGAGGTCGCATGCCGTCCTGCATCGACGATTTGAGCCAGCTTTGGTATTGACTGCTTTTCGTCGAAAGGTGCACTTTCCGAGCATGGCCTTGTTGTCTGGACGTAGCAGCGAACCAATCTGCATCCGGCTCAGTCCCCTTCATCAATTCCAGGGCTTGTGAGTGCCATTGGCGAAAGGGCATGTTGCCCACATCGGCCCAGTGGACTTCAGCTTGGGACAACAGCTCCTCCGGTTGTTTGAGGGGTTTAGTCTGAAAAGATTTAAAATTTTTTGACCATGCAACAAAGCGATCCCAGAATGATTCATCCTGTCCTTGCCATAACCTGTGCGGAGGCGACTGGGCTACAAGAGGCGCAACCTGAAGCTCAAAGGAGTGGCCAGGGAAATTATCATAGACGCCGCAGGAAGCTGCTGCATCCCGGGACCATCCCGCAAGATCACATGTGATATCAGAAATTTGTGCGCAGCCCTCCCACAGCACCTGGCACCGGGACTCGGAGGTGCTAAAAGGATTCTTCACGGCCTCTAGCTGCTTAAAACGAGGCAGCTGAGGGACAGGGGTGGCACTGTCAGCAAGGAACGTGAACTCAACGAGAGCATGCGGCCTAAACGGAACGGACCAATCTAGCCGCGCAGTGAAGCAGCCGGACAGTGCATGGGACAGCACGCCTCCGGCCTCAGTGCGAATTGAGGTGGCTTGCATCTCTTCAGCTGGCACATTAAAGTCTCCAACCACTGAAGCAGATTCGCAAAGCGTGTTGGATATCAATAAGGTGTCCAATGCAGCCTTGCAGAGCCCCGATGTGCGCCTTGATGGCAGCACTCGGGAAAACTTGTCACGAAATTTTGGGTATCATGACCAAACACTTCGAGGCTTTTCCAGCTCACGGCAAGTCGAGCCGTGACTTGAGGACCTCCTCGCGGGACGGATTGGTCTTTTCCTGTGAATCAGCTGCTGTTCAGGCTGTGTCTACCCCGGAGGATCACCGTGTTCCCGATGTGCGCCGGCATGACGGCACTCAGAAAAAATTTGCAAAAATTGACTGGGATAACTTTGTGCGTTTGCTGGAGTCAGGGGCTGTGTCAGGTTTCGCCAATGAGGAGACCCAGCTGCTTGAAGGAGGAGGAAGGAGGAGGAAAGTGGCCCACAGATGTTACTGCGGCCGTCAACCCCCTTCCCCCCAAGCATCTCAGAGCAGCTCCGATGCCGTCATCGCCGCTCTCCGCGAGGGGTTCGAGAGGGCGGGTAAGAAAGCTAGCCAAGCTGCACAAAGTAGACAATACCGAAAATACTGAAACGACTCCCCTAGAGCCCGAGTGAAGGAGGAAGATGCTGTAACAATGTGTCGCACGGGAGTGACCCGAACCTAGTGCGCCGGAGCGATACACAACGACGGAAAGCGAAATGGAGAAGCGAACAGCAGTGCCGAGCTGCGAGGCGTGGCTGTACTGTAGGCCGCCACCCTACACAGCGGGGAAGAACCAAGCACGGTGGCAAGCCGCTTATCGCACGTGAGGGCCGCACCTACAACGGCGCAGATGGGGTGAATATGGTGCCGTGCTTGGAACGACACGGCAGTGGCTACCTCACGAGCCCACTGCAAGCCACACATTCATTTCTGGCCGGCCCAGACGTAGGAGGTTTAACGCAGAACAAGGCTCTGAACCGAGTGTGGTAGGAAGGCGCAACGAGCGACGATGCAAACAGCGTGCAAGATGCATAAACCCTCTTTTACGACTGGGGGCGAAACAGCTCGACTGCATCCCTACGGACCACTATGCGCCCCTCCGCACTTAAAGCGCGGATGGCCCTCGTCAGAACGATGGGAGGCCAGTCGTCAGCAACCGTGGGAGCCCAAGCTCGCAGTTCCTGGAGAAGAGAGTCGATGGAGATTAGATCGCCACCCTCCAACTGCCGGAGGAGCCACCGTCGCACTTTGCGAGTTGGGAGTGACGATGCCGCAGTTGCACCGGAGCCAGCCCCCGGGTTGCAGTGCAATGCAGAGTGGCGCAGGTGCTGCAGAAGGTTTGCACCCAGCGTAGGAGGGGGATGTCGACGTGGAGCTGCAGCTAGACTTGAAGCCCATGCCCACCAACAGTCAGGACAGAGACGGATGTTTACGTCACCCGCTGCAACGTAGGAAAGGTGCGCACCGGAGTTCCAGCGGCAGCTTCCCCGATTGTGTACAACCGTGTTGCATGAGGCACAGACTGGGCCAACCTGGCCACGACACCAAGGGCATGGGTTGGCCGGCGAGTCCCAGGAAGGGAGGCAAGCACCTCTACAGGTCCAGCAAGCTACTATGCAATCAAGGTGTGCAGGAGGTGAACAGCGGCAGGGCACTGAGGCCCCAGTGAGCATTTCCGGCGACAAGGAAGGCCCCGCCGGAGTCCAGTAGCGCTTGCGCTAAGGCTGGTTCGCGCACACGCTGGCAGGGTGCTGCTGCTGCTCGCAGTCGTCGCACTGCCACTTCACAAGGATGGAGAGCCCAGCGGATTTCTCGCACGAGAGCAATGCCTGGAGGAGATGCTAGCCAGCGCTGCAAATCACGAGTAGGGGGGTGGATCTGTGCATGTGGAGCTTGATCCCCCTCTCCGGGAGGGGTTGGATCGGCGAGAGATATGCCTGCAAGATGGATGAACGCCGAAAGGCGTACCTGATAGGCACTCCGCACATATCGCAAGCCTAGCACAAGCCGCTGAGTGAATTGGATGGCCGGGAGCGCCCTACGCCTAGACACCGACAGGATGCGAAGCTCAGACTGGAGAGCCGACGATTGCCGCAGGGTGGCATATTGCTCCAGCTCTTGATTGGCCATCGCTTCCAACTCGGGGGGGGACAGGTGGCAGATAGCAGCGCCCAAAGCTTTTGGGAAGATACCGCGGTAAGCAAGATCGGACCCCGTCTCCCGAGAGCATGCGGTTGCACTGCTGCCGTTGACATCCTGGAAGAGCGCGGTTTCACGCTGCGGAATGGAGACGAACCAGCGCCAAGCCGTCAAGATTGGCCAACGTCGCGATGCTTCGGGGCCAGGGTCAGCGGGTATACCGCCTGGTGTGTGCCGCAGCGAAGCTCTCCACCGAGCCGCCGCTTGCTGGTGAGCATCCGGGCCTACACAGTTGACAAGGGGGGATAGCGCTGGGCACCCCATGATAGCGTGCCTCGGAGTGCCAGGCGCAGATGCACACAGTGGGCATGTGCGGGCAGAGGGCCATCCTGCTTGTTCCGCCCATGTGTTTGCCGTGAGTGATTCTGACTGGCTAACATGGAGCCTTTCCGTCCAGGCTCCACCGATGGCCCGGTGCAAGCGAAACGAAACAGCTGAAAGGTCTATGAGGAGGGGGTCGCCTGGAAGAGCCCATCGCAACCACGCAGGGGGGAAGGTGCATTGAGTGTGAAGAGACGGGTCGAGTGAGGGAGTGAATACTTGGTTGGCCACTCGAGGCAACAGTCCCTGGACGGGACGCTCGCTCCAAGCGGCTTCACTCTGACCCCGTTGCACCTGGCGGACGCATTGGCGAATGGGGCCAGTAACCATGCGGCCATCCAGGTCAACCCATGCGAAGGATCCGCCTGTTGGCAACCGCACGTCTGGTGGCGCAGTGCTGCGGGTATGCGCCGAACAGCCCGCATCCTGTGCTTCATTGCCCTGCGTTAACACAGGGAAGTGAAGTGAAGTGGCCGTCTGGTGGCTACGAATGTCTACACCTACGACACCATCTTCAGCGAATGCAATTTGAGAGAATACTCGCTGGTGGCCGTCAACCGGCAGTTGGATATTCCACTGGTGAGGAAAGCGCTGCTGATGCAGCTTCCAAGAAGGTGTGGGTGCAGAGCCCGACCAGGAGTGCCGGAGTTCTTCGAGAACGTGCTTGAGCAGCACCACCAAGGGAGAGCACTGCGAGGACAGAAGTCTGGAAACTGAACCGGCGACTGCGACCCGCATAGTGGAAAACAGAGCACTGCGGTCGAAAACTAGGAGGTGCCACTGGTCTTTACGGCGAAAGCGTAACGCACAAACCAGGGAGAGCAGTTCGGCGGTGTGGATGGAGGTGGACTCCCATCCGAGGCGATGGGGGAGCTTGCATGCTAATTGTGGGGAGACCCAAGCTGAAGAGTCCCAGTACTCCCCCAGCCGCCCGAAGCTACGCGCTTGGCAAGCGAAAGTGGCACCGGATAGCTTTGAGTAGCCGCCATCGCCATAGAGAGCCTGGTCATCCGAATCCGCGGGTGTCGGCAAGATGGACATCAGCAGGCGGGAGCGTGGGTCGCAGCGCCAGTTCCATGGGTCCTCCCATGCTTCTTCTGACCACTGCTCGGCGATGTAATCCGGAGGAGTGACGTGGAAAAGGGAACACTCCGTGGTCCAGTCTTGTTGAGACTGGGCACAAGCAAGAGAGGCAGCTCTGGCACATTCAGCCGGAGAAATGGGAGCGTGCTGGGGCAAGGCGCGACTCCAGAGGGCAGGGTCGTGCCAAGCCGCATGCGGGCCGTGCTGGAGCAGGATATCCATCCAGGCGGAGCGTATTGAGTTAGCAAGCAAGCCAAACCTACAATAACGAGCAGCAGCATCAAACATTGCGGGCACGAAGCTGCCCACTAGTGACTGCGGCACTACAGTGTTGAGGTTGTCTAGCACACGGGCCACGAACCGGTCAGTGGCAAAACTAACGTAAAAACCATACCCTGCTAGAAACCTCATGGCATCGGTTAGGGTGCCAGCGTGTCTGGGCAGCTCCTCTGCCGAGCATACGAGGGCTTGACGAAGGGTGTCTCGCGCCACAAGAGAAGCAGGCGCCGTGCCGTTGAGCAAACTAACAAGATCCGCTGCCACTGCGGCTACGAGAAGGTCCGTTAGCAGGGGAGCCCCTAAACCACCCACTTTTCGCGATGCTGACACGCTGACGTGCTCAGCAGTGATGATCATTTGGATCATGGCCAACCCTTCATCCCATGAGCAACATTTGCAAGCGATGCGCTGTCGGACTGCCGCAAGCTTGTCAACGAGGTCTTGGGAAGCTAGGGAATGCCGGTCCATTGGTGTGCCTCTCTTGCCGAGTAGGACGTCTACTTGGTCGGCTTGGGAGCGAGGGAGATTGTAGCGCTGCACGCCTCCGGCCCAGATGTTCCAACTGGCTACGGACGCACCTGCTGCGTTCAAGCCTGGGTGTTGCAGACGGGGTAAGGTATCGTCCCAGTCCGTCGCGAAAGCGGAGAACTTGGACCAAGCGAAACCAACACCTGTAGCAGCGCTACCAACAGCGAGAGACTGCAGGATGGCTGGCAGATCCTGAAGGCCATCCCCATAGTGCTCTATGTCATCAACATATCCAGCGGCAGGGACGCGCCGGGCAGCGCTCGTGGTGTAAGCAGCACCGTCACATGCCCGGAGGCGGAGCAAGGGGTCTTGGGCAGTCCGCGAAAGTTCAGGCGACGAGACTGCACCCTGCGGCACACCGCGGGTGACCTCGAGGGGCTGAGTAGGGCCTGAACGCGTGTCCAGCGTAACCCTTAGCTTGCCGAACAGCGAGCAATGGAGGCGGCGGACTGCATCCGGGATACCCCGTCCTTGCTGTACAGCGTCAATTTGCGGTAGATTGAGAGTGTTAAAGAACTTCTCATAGTCGGCAGGAATGCGGAGAAGGGGACGGTGGGACGAGCGTCCTCACACACTAACGAGTCCAAGTAGAGGACTTCTGTAGCAGCCGACACTCCCTTGGTGTAGGCCCGATTCAACACGGAGAAGGGGGTGTCCGTGGACCAACCAGTGCGAGACAGGGCCAACCTTTCAACGACCGGGGCTTCGATGGCTTTCACGTGTTCCTCAATCATGGAGAGTGGGCGCCATCCGCCGGAAGGTTTAGGGAGGTGGAGCTGGTCTGCACGCAGGAAAGTAGCAGAGACAACACCAGTCAGGCGCTGCAAATCCACAGCGTGCCAGAACGCGGATTGGAAGACACGTGGAAAAGCCTCGATGAAACACAATTTCCAGCCGCTTGGCCCTGGGCGGGAGTGACGAAAGCGAGAAGTGAGAGCTGCAGTCTCCGCGGGAGATGCGCGGCCCACTAGGTCATAAGCCGGGGGCTCCGCAATGCGCATCACCAGGAAACTGGAAGGAGGAGGCCAGCTGAGATGATGTGGAGTGATGTGTGCTGCGGGGATGTCGCGCAAGGACATTATACACGGAAGAGGCGGCCCGGGCAGGGCTGGGGACGAGATGCATACCAGCCGTCTGGCCTCCAGCATAGGACCCACTCCCCCACCCGCACGCAGTCCAGGCCCACAGTGAAGCCGACATCGGCGGCCTGGAAGTGCACCAAACGCCAAGGACCAGGTGAGAGGAGGGCTTGCCCCACGCGTTGAGTGTCATGACCGGTGGGCGCATCGCCTATGTTGACGAAATGCATGGCTCCGCGTGGTTGACAGTAGGAGTCAAGGAAGGGCATCACGGAGGCATGATGCCATGCTAGAGGCGGCTGTTGCAATAGCTTCGCCCATTCCTGAGTGGCCCCGACTAGCACATCTACAGCACTGCCGGGGCGATGGCGTGAGCCGTCACCGGCAGTCACCCACTCAGGAGAATACCGGGCCTGTGGCAAGGAGGGCGGTTTCATGCGAGAGGCCCAGGCTGTGGAATCGCCACGCCTGAGTAGAGAGATGCGTTGTTGGCGAGAGGAGCGGATGCTCCTTCGGGTAGCCGCCGATTGACGGCTTGCGGCGTACGCGATGCAATTGTCTAGGAGTTGAATGCCTCCAGCTGGAGGGGCGGACGGTGGGAGTGAAGACCAGGACGGGGCTGATGGAGCCGGATCTGCGCGGGTTTCGCGGGTTCGTGAGGGGTGTGCTGTTGTTGGGGCGGATAGAGCGGCGATGGTAGGGGGAAAACCAAGGCGTGTGGCCCAAGCAACCCGAGCAGTGGAGAATCCGTCCCAGTCTGGAAGGGGGAACTCGGGCCGCGACGTTTCCGAGGCTTGCAGGTGGGCTTCCATGTCGGCAGCTTTTTGCCAGAGGCGGTGCCCTTCGTCAAGCGAGAAGCACGACAAGATGAGGTCGTGGCCGAGGCGAGGGATGGCATCCCTGATGGCCTGCCGGACTCGTTTGAGTTCAAGGAGGCACGCATGCCATGCCGCAGCAGCGCGGCAGTCACGCCTGTTTACAGGGGGTGCCACGGGGGGGAGGCAAGAAAGGAGCACTGACATGACACCATCCACGGCACCGATTAAACGGTCCTGAAAACAATCAGGCACCGTGAGAGCTGGGGCCCCTAAGAAACCGTCCAACCCTTCCGAAGCCGGTTGTTGGATCGTATGCCACTGGGACTCGAGAGCGTTTAACTCAGCTGCAAGCTGGGCAATTTGGTGTGAGTGCTCCTCGTCTCATTGCAACGGAGGTTGGAAGATCCCCATCCAGCCTACGGACTAAGCTGCGCCACGGTGGCGTAATAGATTGGGAGATCGCCGTCTCCGGCAGGTGCAATGCGAGGTCCACTAGCACCGGATCATGGTCAACTCTACGGTCCCACTGCCAAAGGATGGCTGCGTTGAGGAGCTGAACTTCTACTTGTGGGCAGGGCAGCCACCATATGGAATCAAGACGGCTGGCAGAGCCGGCTTGAGAGTAGAAGGTAAAAGCTCTCAGGCGGGGATGACGGGACCTGAACATGTCCTGAAGACCACATGCGACGCAGTGGGAGGCTATTGACTGGCGTACGAGATAATGTCCTCCCCAGCTGTCCAAATCAACATCGGCAAAGGAGTTGAGGTCACCTCCGACCACAAGCAGCTGTTGCAGCTCACCGGCTTTGTGCACTTGTTGGTCTATGAAGTCTTTGAGGGCCTGTTCATCCGCAATGTGCTGCGGGCTTCCTACGCCGAATTGTGGGAGACAAGCACCGACAGGACCATAGAGCGCGAGAAACCGAACATCAATGCCACTGTTAGTGTGCAGGACGGCCGAGACAGCCCGACCTGATGGGTCTTTGGCTACATCCGTCCAGCTACCCGAGTAACCTGAACGGACGGCGAGGATGACACCTGACCCAGCAGCTGCATAGTCTGCAGGGCCGTTGCGAGGACGTCCGTGACTGACAGCGTGGTAACCGCACGAGAGGAGGCCTTGGCAGGCCTGGGCATGTTGTGCATCTCCCTGGAGGGCAGTTTCCGACAGAATTCCGACATCAGCCCCCAGGGTGCGCAGACCTTGACCATGCCATAGGCCCCACTGGAATCGATCTCGACCCGTGCTGCCACACTGGATTGTCGCGATCCGAAGAGTTTTGGAGCCTTTCCACCTGATGTCATCCCCGAGGCATTGCCCGACGATGTCTGGCATGGGATGGCGTTGCCCCACGTCGAGGCGCAAGCGCGCCTCAGCACCATCCACCTCGTGGCGAGGTGTGTCGGCGCCAGATGAGGAGGAGCTCCCGCCATCGTCAAGAAGATCCATGCTCGAGGAGTGGGTGCCCTGCTGCTGGGCGAGTTTGGAGCCTAAATGCCCGCCGGACGGGCGCAGCATGCGCTACTACTGGTGCATAGAGGCATTGAAAACAGCACCGTTGCCTACGGAAGGCGGGCTACTGCGGAAGAACGCCTTTCTGCGGTAAGGACCTGCAATGCGGAGCGGGGTGAACCGAAAAAACAAATTGCGAGAGGCGGGAGAACCTATACAACTGCGGCCTCAAGTTTCTGAGAAAAGCCATGCTCGATGGCAGAGAGGGCCCGGCCGCACTCAGAGCACCATCTCATTACACTCCGGGCAACGGCCCCGAGAGCGAGGTGCTTCAAGCCAACGCTCGAGGCAGTCAGAGTGTACGACGTGGAGGCACTCCAGCCGCACCAGCTTGTCACACGCGAGGATGTCACCCCGGCAACAAACACATGTCCAGCCCTCCTCCAATGTGCCCGCTGTGAACTCGACCAGGCGGAGTCCTTTGAAGATTGAAGGTCCAGAGCCGTCGGGTGGGTTGGGTTCCGTAGCTGGGCACGAAGAGGTTGGGTTGGTTGGGGCGACGTTCCCTGTCAGGTCGTCAATTGGGGCAGGTAGCGCTGGTGGCACGGCTTGCTGGGCGAGCGAAATTTTGAGGGTACCTACCGGAGAGGCCAGCTTGGTGCGACCTCGCTTATCCTTTCCCGCTGCTGGCTGGATCTCTTCCAAGATGCGGCCGGCAAGACCTGGTATGGCGAACGCGGCGTGCGACAGAAAGAACGCCGGTATCTTGTGGGAGCTTCGCCTGGTTTGTGCGAGCTGGAAGCTGGGCTCTAAACCAGCGAGTGAAGGCGAGAGCTCCGCCACATGGCTCAACAAGGCTTCCAGTTGGCTGAGGTTGGGGCGCCGGGGTAAGCCGACGATGTGTAGCCCTGCCGGCAAGCGCAACTTGGGCGAGGCCGCAAGCTGCACAGTGGCCGGCGAGGGAGGGCTAACCGAGGTGGTGTGAATCGCACGCTTTCCCTTGGCCTTGCCTTTGAGGGTCGTCCCGGCAGGTGCCGCATGTGACCGAAATACGGTGAGCGGTGCTGGCCGGCTTGGAGTGCCAGAATTCCGGGAAGCGTGGCCACCATTGGACGGGCGAGCCGCCCTCTTTGGCATCAGCCCTGGTTTGGAAGGTGTGGCCCTGGTGTTCGGTGTCCGGCGGATACTGCGCGAGCGAGAGGGGCCACGGCCTCCACGCGGAAGCGAAGTGCGAGACGATGGCATACGGGACCGTGCCGGAGGTGGACCGGAGCCAGCTCGAGCACGAGGTGATGGAGGACCACCAGCGATGTCCCGATTGATGCCGTCAAGCGTAGCTGCACCAATGGCTCCCGTAGCGAGTCTGGGAGGTGCAGGACGATAGCGGTCGGGATCAGCACGCACTGGGTGTGGATGCGGGGCGGGACGAGCACGAGCAGAAGGATGCCCAGTGTGGGCGCTGGCCAGACCCGCCCGTGTTACTCCACGAACCCGAGCACGCTGAGGACGAACACGGAGAGGATTGCGGCTGTCAGCTCTACATACCGCTGGCCGTGGGCTGAGCCCCGGGTTGTCAGGCTCCAGTGGTGAAGGAGCCCGAACCGGCCAGCGTGGAGGGCGAGGAAGACCTGCTGGTGTTGAGGGGCGCAGGGCCTGCGGAGCTGACAATGGCGCTGCCGTGCCAGTAGATGGATGGCCGGCATCAGCCTCTGCAAGGCCGGCCGGAGGGAGCAGCGCGTGGATGCTGCGCTCGGCAAGTAACAGCCCCATGCGCACCGCGCGGCGGGCATCCTCTTGCCAAGATGGGTCCATTGCGGCCACGGAGCGAAGTCGTCGAAAAGTAAAAACGTGAGGCAATGTATCCAAGACTTGAGAAGGAAAGAGGATCCCGGTACGTGGGTTTGCGACTACAAGCTCCAGACAATGCATCAGGCACAGCGGTCAACATGTGCATGTCCGATCAAGACGAGACGACTGACCTCACAGGACAACAGGGTGAGGAGGAGGAGGAGCGGGGGCACGAGCGAGCATGGCAATAGGGCAAGGCGAGGACGTGCGAATTGAATGAGCTAGTGAACGAAGGAAGTGAAAGGAGGAGGATTAAGAGTAAGAATGAGGTGTGGCACTGTCGCCCTGACGGAAGGAATACGGGCGAGGGGGGGGTGCTCATCGGCGGAAGGTGCCTTAGTGCCGCCCCCGGTGTCCCGCCCACCTCGGCAAGACCCCGTAAACCTTGCACAAACCGTCAGAACCGGGGGACCCAGCTGCTTGAAATTGTGGAGGCCATTGAGACTGCGTATCCGAGTCCTTCTTGGAGTGGTGGACCGGGCACCGCGTTTGTGAATGCTTAGCGGAGGAGGCCGACCCGACATGGCCCATCGCCGCTGCCAAGCAATTGACCCAGTCCCATAAGATGCACCAGCCAAAACCCTTAATATCACCACTTGGGGCCCGAAGTTTAAAGACTGGCTGGCCAGTCAATCAAGCCGGCTCTTTTGTGTGTTCAAGAAACACATCTTCGACAGGACGTGCCAAAAACAAAAGCCTGGCTCTCATCGCGAGGTCTCGCCAGTCACTTAGGGGCAGGAGGCAAAGGCAAAAACCAAGGAGTCCGGGGTGGTTTGGACCATCTCGGCGGCATTATAATGTCCACCAGTCTTGGGTTCCTTTTCGCTAAGAAAATAAAATGAAAGAAGAAGAAGTAATGAAACTTTTTGCGAAGAAAAGAAGATGAAAGAAGAAGAAGTAATGAAACAAAACGTAATCAAAACACAAAAGAAAAAGAAATATACGAAACGAAACGAAAATGGAAAAAACAAAAACTCAAACAAAACGCAAGCACCAAACGAAAAAAATAATAAGCCACACGAAATCGCTTTGGGTGGGTTTTCGAAGTCGCTTTATTGGGGTGGTTTGCGAAGAATTTAAAATGAGAGCAAACTAAAATGAAAAAACCACAAACTCAAACAAGACGCAACCACCAAACAAAAGAAGAAGAAGCCACACGAAATCGCTTTGCGGGGGGCTTTTGCGAAAAAAATAAAATGAGAGAAGAAGAAGCAATGAGACGAAAAACAAAATGAGAGCAAACTAAAATGAAAAAACCACAAACTCAAACAAGACGCAACCACCAAGCAAAAGAAGAAGAAGCCACACGAAATCGCTTTGTGGGGGGCTTTTGCGAAAAAAATAAAATGAGAGAAGAAGAAGCAATGAGACAAAATGCAATCAAAAACACAAAACAAGAAGAAAGACACGAAATGAAAAAACAACACAAAGTCAAACAAAACGCAATCACAAAACAAAAAAAGAAGAAGCCACACGAGATCGCTTTGTGGTGGTCACACGAGATCGCTTTGTGGTGGTTTTTGTAAAAAATAGAATGAAAGAAAAAGGAATCAACAAAACAAAACACCAACACGAAACAAAAGCCACAGATCATATCTTGAGCCTTCCCATCCGAAGAAGCTACCGTGTCTAGCGGACAATGGAAGATCGTTTCAAACAAAGGAAGGTGGAATGGAACCACTGAGTACAGAAGATCACCACACGTTCAGAAAGAATAGAGATTCCACTGTATCTCGCGCGCGAGAGCCAGATATCATGTATGTCTTGATTTTTTGGCTTGACTGGATCTCGTCTGTAGTACTCGGTCCCTACAAACAAGCAAAGGAACAAACTAACAAAACTACAACAAAGCGGTGAAAAGAAAGAGAAGCACGAATGGGCAGCTGTGTTGGCGGTTTGGCTGTCAAAGCTCGCATCACCCGTTGAAGCAGACATGGAACCGCGAAAGCACGTTGGATGTCTCAAGGGATCACCAGAACTCGCGTTGGTACACCAAGAAAGTTACCTCGGAAAAAGTTTTCTTGATGACAGAAGTGATGAAAAAAAACCATGAAAGGGACAACTACAAAGTTTCCGCGCTCATAGAAGCGACGAGCGACAGTGATTGGGCAGCAGATCGAGAGTCAAGACAAAGCGAGAGTGATCATGCATGGTGAATGGAAAGGTTCATTTCCAAAGTAAGAGGCAGAAAAACGTAGCATTGTCATCGAAGCTGAGACAATTGCAGCATGAATCTTAAGCGAAGGTGTATTCCTGAAAGTTTTACTGACAAAATTACAAGTGAACCTTTTCTGCACCCAAAGATTCCAAAAAATTTCATCATAAAGGTGATAGTAAAAGACAATCTCTCAGACTTGGAGACCAAATCTCTGACACGTTGAGGCTTCTACCCCAATTTGTTATCGAACACTTGACAATCTCTTGCAGCCCACACGTACGGGCTGCAACTTTGGTCATGAATTTGCGCTCTCGCTGTCTTGATTACTGAGGATCCTAACCTCTGCAAGGACTGACAGAACCTCATGAGTTGGACGATTTTCAGCTCAGTGGCAAGGCTCAGGATCTTGGACATTGGCAATTAGAGGTTTAGAGCTTCTTGGTGGGCTTGCCGATGGGTGCAAACAATGCGGGCCGTGTGACGACGTCACCAATGTCCAAAGGGATGCGTTCTGCTGTTGTCCAGCCTGCTTGTGCAAATGGGATTCACAGCAGCTATTGTCGAGTCCTCTTTTTTCCAGCCCTGTACAAGAACCAAGAGAAGGAGGAACAGTGAGAGCCAGCCGAGTGGAGAAGATGATGTTGGAGATGCTTACCTGAAGGTGGAACAAGAAGAACCAACAGTGGTTGAAGTCGATGGAGAACACTATAAACTGGGATTCACGTGCCCGGTCAACGGATCGGAAGTGCAGCTTGGTTCGAGAAGTTGAAAAGTTACCTGGAGGAGTACGTTAACAAGTGACAGTGGACTCAAAGTGGAAGAACCAAGAAGGAAGGATCGATGAGTTTCCTGAAGAGAAGTTTCAAGTCGATGGACAAGGAAAAGCACATCGAGAAGGACTGGCAAGTTGGAAGAAGCCTTCAAACTTCTTCAAGCTCCAACAAAGACCCCTTCATCTTCACAAGCCAAGTCCAAGCCCCTCTTGAGCCCTTCAAGCCCCTTCAAGTCCTTTTAAGCCCTCCTTCAAGTTCTCCTTAAAGTTCCTTCAATTCAAGCCCCCTTCACAAGCGAATGCTGCCATTTTGAGCATCGGCCAAGAGGTTGGAGGCGATTCCCCGGATGCACAATAGAGCTTTTGCTGGAGGAGATTATAAGCGGGATTTCGGAAGGAGAAGGAGGCCGCTGGCCAAGAGGCACAAGAGGGCATGGCAACAACAGTGGAAGCTTCAAGCGGGAACTTAAAAAGTCCAGTTCAAGGGAGGCTTTGTTCTGAAGAAGGTCTCTGGCTGAAATGATCAACCCGGATGCTGCAAGGAATGCAATGCGGAGCTGACAATAGCATTGCCGACTGTGGTCCCTGTGCCTCCAATCACACACTGTCTTTGTCGATAGAAACTTGTACTTTGATTACAAGCTCAGCCGTCGCCTGCTTTCAGCCGCCGGGTTACTGCACAGCACCCTGTGGCGTCTTTGCGCCGCGGCCACCTCCGAAGGCTGGAATCTCAGATGTCTGTTCCTTCTGGCAACTTGTTCAGCACTTTCATCTTCTCAAGTCTTTCCAACTCGTGCTTTTTGTACACCCCTTCGACTTTCTCCATCTCTTCATCTGCCAACTTTGGTGGTCTGCTCTTGCTGAACCTTTCTTCAGGTACGCATTGAACTGATCTAGGGGATCAAGCCCCCATCCAACTTTCCACAACTTGCCTACTGCAAATAGTGGTTGTGTTACATCTCCGAACACAGCTGAATCTCTCACCTTTATCACTCTTCCATCTGTTCTTTGGAATTCGAATGTGATGTTTGCTCTTGTTTCAGTGGTTCTTATCCTGTTGCCTTGAGCATCTTGAATGACCATTCTCAAAGCTGGGAACTCAACTGTTCCTAAGTCTTCGCTGTAGTAGCATAGCGGAAGTACATGACAATCCGTGCCGCTATCTAGCACAACTTCAACGAGTTCTGAGTAGCTTGAGTTACCCAACAGCTCTTACTCGATGCACTTCTGACTCTTCATCATCCTGGACAGTGGCGCTTCTGACTTCTCTTCCAAAGAGTCTTTCTCTTTCTCTTGCATGCTTGGCATTCTGCTTGTCCACTTGCAGATCTTTGTACCACTTGTGAAGTTCATCCTTCTCATAATCTTCTTCATCACTTTCATCAACCATGCTTGAAAGTAGCACAACTGTATTGACCTTTACTGCTCTTGCAGCATAGTCCATCACCATCTCTTCGAACATTCCTACAAGATCGACGTACTCTTCATCGTCGTCGAACACTTCTTCAATCGCTGGCATAGGTGTTGTCACCAACCTACGCACTTGTTCGTTTCCTTTTGCTCCTTGAGGTGGCCTTGCTTGAAACTTGCTTGTGCCTGTGTAGAAGAACTTGGTTGCTCTTCGTACCATTCTTCCTCGCCTGTCTCTTGGACGTTGCGAACTTTTCCTTTTCCTCCTTTTCCTTTTCCCTTTGGTCCGACCAACACTCCGAAGAGTAATGTCCGGTCTCATCACAATTGAAACATACAGGTCCATTGTGTCCACCTTTTCCTTTTCCTTTGTCACTTTCGTAGCCTTTTCCTTCGGCCTGCCTGATACTCGGGCTCTCGGCCTCCGCCTCCAACGGGTCTCCAGTGACCCGTCTGGCCGCTTCCCCACTTGTGTCCATAGAGCCTGCCGGCTCCTGAGGCTGGGCCTGCAGGGTGCTTTGAGCAGGTTGCTCAAGTGGTGGGGATCCCTCCCTCCGGGGAGGGGTAGTGGAAGAACCTGGTTGCTGCGATTGCAGCTGGGGCGGTTGCCCGTGCACCGAGGTG